CCTTTCTTCCGCGTCTCCCCGCCCCACCGCTGTCTCGCCAGCCCCCTTTCGTCGCGCGATGAATCCGGTTAGTCTCGTTAACGTCCTAAGTCACCGAGTCTCTCTCACGGCGACTTTGTATCTCTCTCTCTCTCTCTCTCTCTCTCTCTCTCTCTCTCTCTCTCTCTCTCTCTCTCTCTCTCTCTCTCTCTCTCTCTCTCTCTCTCTCTCTCTCTCTCTCTCTCTCTCTCTCTCACTCTCTCTCTCTCTCTCTCTCTCTCTCTCTCTCTCTCTCTCTCTCTCTCTCTCTCTCTCTCTCTCTCTCTCTCTCTCTCTCTCTATCTATTTATCTATCTCTGGCTCTCAGTTACTTTCTCTTCTCACGGAGAAAGACCGGCGTCCGGAGCAACGAAGAAACCACCACCTGGAACCTTCCGGCGCAGCTCGCGATCGAACGCAATATCGGCGGCGACAACGACGGCGGCTGCTGGCCGATATCGGGTCGACCGCATTGCCAGCGATCTGTACTCTCGACGAAAGTGAAAGCGCATGTAGTAGCACGCCCGATCGTGGAATACTGACCTGGTCAGGAATGTATTTCTAGCCGCCGCTGTAATTCCGCCGCGCACACGACTGTATAATCTTGAATGACCGCTCGAGAATGTTCGGATCGAGATCGGTCATGAAAAGTTGTTGCTGTTGCTGTCGCTGTTCTCTCGCCGGATCCAGACGGTCAGCACGAAATCCAAAGACCGCAGACGGGGTTGTGGAGTTTCGAGGGTTTCGCGGTTTTGCGAGGAACTCGCGAGCTGATCGCGACCGATTAGCGAACGAAACGCGAAATTCCGCGATCTCCGCGTTACTCTCCGAGTCGCGTTCGATCGAGACGGAGGGAGGGGGAGGGACGCATGTTCTCTCTCCACGGCTAATATCGCCGAGAGTGCGCGTCACGCTCGTCGCGTTAAACATACATTACGCATTACGTAGGCGCGCTCGCGCTTTGTCGCGCGAAAAGTGAATTAGTCCGGGCGGTCCTCGTTGAAAGCACGCCGTCGGTACAAAGGATCTACCGGATCCGATCGGGACACCATCGGACGTCACGCGCCAGCGAGTCCTCGTCATACTATGCGCGACGGTTACGACGACGACGACGACGACGACGACGAGGAGGACATCGACGCCGACGGCGACGCCGCGTGTATTTGCGGCGTACGCAATATGCTTTGTGTCAGGAATGCCCCAGGCCAAGGTATTCCCCGCGCGTTGGTCCCTAAGACCCTAGCTAAGATCAATGTGTGGGGGGACTATTCGAAGGACCTATGCGCAATCCGGAAGCTGATCACTAAAGAGAGGGAGAGAGAGAGAGAGAGAGAGAGAGAGAGAGAGAGAAAGGTGGGATAGGAGGGAGGAGTATCGGCAAGTGGATGCTGTTTACCATGCTCAAATGTTGACCGAACTCCCTCGACCGTTCTTGGACCATATCGTGCTTTCAGACGAACCTCCCCGAGCTAACGGCGAGTTTCGAGTCGTGCGTATAGGCCGGTCAAATGAGGCGAATTTCTGGCTCTGCGCATCGACGAAGAAATTGTTGAATTGAACTTTATATACCGTCTGTCGTGCACGCGGCCGAGAACGTCGCGAGTGGACGAGAGACTTTTCAAGCGTGAGCGAGTCCGAGTCGCGAGCTGATTGCATACAATGAGGAAAAGGTAGAAGAAAAGTCGACATTGTGCAAATATTAGAGTTTGGAGTGCTCGTGGAGGAGAACGTGAGCTCGAGGTTTCTTGGGCCGATTTTCTCGGGACGAATCGGCAAATTTGTTATTTTACCAGGTGGTGAGCTGGTGTGTTCTGCACATAAGCGAAGCACTTTCTCACTCGATCGGGATATGAATAAAATTGGCCGATGCGCTTATTTGAAATTTCCGTTTTGGCCGGCGATAGAAGAAGCCGGGACTTGTTCGCTCGCTCGCGTATAATTCGTCGTTTAATAACTCGTCGTATCGTCGAGCTCGCTGCGCTGGCCAAAGCTGATATTCGGGTCGGATGTTGGGCGAATTCAAACTCCAACATGATCCTTTGAGTCATTCGGGAAACTGCGCTACAGCTTTAAATCAGTCCGGCCATGTCGCCCCGACTGTCCGAATATCGTGGGAAATATTACTCATATCAAAATCGCTACATGGCGATCACTTTGGATAATAAGCTTTGGGATCAAAATAATGAAACTGCATAATTACACGGTGCAATAAGTGTAAGCTCGAACGAGCTTACAGTCTGTCTCCGTCCAATCGCCTCGTTACGTCTGACGACTGGTGTTACACTTATTCTACAGATTAAATTAAAGATTAACCCTTTATATTCTGAATTAATTTACCTAAAGCCCTCTTGTTAAATTAAATAGCTTTTGGCATGCTACAAACATAAGGAATAGGAAAATAAATTTTGTAATAATTTAATGATTTTAAGATAGTAACTTATAAGTACCGAGAAGAGAGAGTATAGGACAAACCATAGAAAAGAAAGTTCAAAAACATATAGACGTTGATATGGAACGGTATTTTTAAATTATACCGTCAGGATACAAAGGGTTAAATGTGATCGTCCAAATTTCGCAGAAGGGCTCGTCTGTGTCAATTCAACCTCGCCCTATTTTCCGATTTTCGTCGGACCTTCTTTCGGAGCATCAACGGAGCATGCAGCTCGAAATGCATTCCGATACCGAGCGAGCGAAGAAAGAGACATCGATATTCAAGCAATCCTAGCCACCCTGTGTCTCGCTGACACGTGGTTTCGCGGAAGTGGATCCATGCTTAAGACATCGTTGATACCGGTCTTCAGGGATGACGCGCAGCCGGAGGGAGGCTTTTATTCTCCCTCCCTCCCTCCCTCCGTCTCCGTCGCATCGTGTCCGCTACTTTCGCGCCAGACATCGGCGAGGGATCGCGCGTTTCTTCGTCCACGTCGTTGCTCGCTCCGACGCCCGCAGCCCCGCTCGTACGGAGTAGCGGGCAGGATATTACGGCGATGCGCGACAATGAACGCAGCGATCGCTATCTGCGTGCGACGCGCGTGGGGGTGCCGAGCCACCCTTCTCGCGGGCACACGCTCCCGCGTGCGCGCGCGCTCGCACACGAACGCGCGCGGCCGTGTGTGAGCGCGCGTACACTCTGCTGCTGTGAGCCACCGGCTAAACTACCCCCGACTGGTGCCTAAACCAGTTCCTCCCCTTTTATTATGGGCCGCGACGGTTATTGGATTGTACCGTGCTATTTGTTGGCTGCCACGCTAATGGATCCATAATCACCGGGACGAATTAACGCGCTACAACGACACTGACGGGCCGCTACTTTGAATACAGGAATGTTCGCACGCCACTTACTCGACTTATTCTGGGCGCAGCGTCACGAATGCTGCTTAAACAATCGCCGGGCCGTCGGGCGGAACTTTCGGATTGCCGGCCGGGACTCTCGTCGGTGGGCGACGCTCGCTTCTCCTCGCTCCTCCGACGGATTAAACCATCTACATCGTGCTCTCTCCCTCTCTCTCTCTCTCTCTCTCTCTCTCTCTCTCTCTCTCTCTCTCTCTCTCTCTCTCTCTCTCTCTCTTTATATACATAATATCTCGAGGTCGCCTCTTTTTGTCGGATCAAATAGTGCGTTTAAATTGTATCGCAGTGTTACCAAACGCAGAACGAGTAAATCGCGCACGAGACACGACGGTGTCTCGCTTTTGGAAAATTCCCGCCGTCTGTCGGAATCAAAGAGCGTGTGCAAATCAGATGAAAATATTACAGAGCAGGGAACGAGTAAATCTTGAGGCGAATTACGCCGACATTTGCCTTCGACTTCCGGTCCAAAAATCGAGGCGTGCGAATCGTCGCACGGAGGACAAGCGAGGTACACTTCGCGCTGCGCCTCACCTCTCGTGTAAACGCCCGTTTCAAGGATTCGTCATATTTCGCGCAGCGAGAATCGAAGGAACCGGCTACGAGGAGCAGTGAAGTTTCGGTCCACGCGCACGCGAGTTCCACGGACGGAGTTCCCCGAGGATTAAGGGCTGAATCCTAATCCGCTAATTTCATTCGACCTTTCCGCGCCGAATCTACGCTATTACCCTCCGGACGCACTCGGCTACCGAGTTTCCCTCTCCGGCCCTCCACCGGCATCAGCTTTTAAACTCGGACTAGCGGCCGAGCGGAGCATCGCGCGGAGCGATCACCGGAGGCCCTCGAGACCTGGAAGCCGCTCGTATAAACGCCCTCTGATCTTTACTGCCGCGGCTGAATCTTCCGATATATACATATATATATTTACAGCGCCCAGCTTTACGGGCCTGTCGAGCAAATGAAATGAAATTCATGCAAATCGCGGAACCGCGCAGCGCCGCGCCACGCCGCGCCGCGCCGGCTTCCCTTTGCGCTGTCGACGCGGCATCGCATCGGTTTTGTATCGGGGCGGCGATGCGTCCAACCTATATCACGAGGGTGAAACGTACTTCCCCCGTTGTTGGTGTCCCAGTCGTTGCTCGCGCGGATAAAATTCGCGTAGAGTCCCAGGATATATCCTTTGAGTAGCTCTGGTTAAGTCGAACGATCATGCCGAACGCTTGAAAAGTACACGATATCTGCTTACCTTGAATGAAGGTGGGAAAGAGATAGGAAAAAGGCTGGAAAAATGTGAGTCCTTCTACCTAGATAAGTGACCAGTGATAACAAACAGGTGCCAAGTGTCGCTTGGTTATCGTTCCGCGTATCTGTTCGTTCTGCGTATTATCGCAATTATTTCATTCGTGGGAAAGTTATACGATGAGGAGGACTTAAACGTAAATTATCATATTTCTGCTGAAATTAACTTAACATTCTTTTCTTCTCTGGGGAGTAAAGCGGATTACACGGTTCTTTTTCTCTTTAGTACGATTCTGTGAATGCATTCTGCTAATGAGAAACTCCGGGAAATATAGGATGCGCGGCGATGATAGAAATTTTAATGTACACGACGTGCGTTCTACTTTTAATCGCAGGTTATGCCAGAAACGGACCCAATTATTACGGCAAACTTATCGGCACCTTACAAAATTACGCGCACGGCATCAAGGGTAAGGTACACGCCGTCGACGATGCAACGATATTCATCAAAGGATTCTGCTACGACGGTACCGGGCCGGATGCTTACTTCTGGGTTGGCAACAGCTCTATGCCCAGTCCCGAGGGTTACATTGTACCTTATCCAGAGACCGACAAAGACAGGTGAGGCTGATAACACTCTTTATACTCACGTGTCGTCTCATATTCCCCGCATGTATTCTCCAAGAGAATCACAAAATAGCGCGATATCGAATCATTTCGCTTATCGATCGTGCGAGCAGGCTTTTCCCCAAATTGATCATTAGACGATCCCATTTAACGTTAAACACGTGGGTGTGCGAGAGCACATGGGAACGGATGTGCGATGGGAATATATATTTTATATATATATATATATATATATATATATATATATGCACACATACTCAAAGGACACTCGTGGCGCGCGAGTTTCGGGCGTTAGCTGGAGCGGGTAGGAAGCAACCGAGTAGAAACGTAATAAAGTGCTCGCGCAGATGAAATCCGAACGAGATTGGCGTATAATTCCCGTTTTATTAACTGCACTCTCCAGCACGCGCGTGGGCGCGCGCGCGCACATGCCACTCGTTCGTTCGTTCGTTCTTCCTTGTGTTTCCACCCCCGCAGTCCCCTCGCCGCATACACGGCCGCGCGTGTTCCCCTCCGCCGCGGACTCACAACGGACTCTTTGAATTTCATTTCATCCCTTGGTTACGGGCTGCCGCGCGGAGCCGCCCCGCGAACCCTACGCTTCCTATCGTGCACCCTTCTCCTTTGGGCTTCCTGCATCTCTGACCGCGTACACAAGCGTACTCCAGCCTTCGTCCATTCCCTGCTTCTCTCTCTCTCTCTCTCTCTCTCTCTCTCTCTCTCTCTCTCTCTCTCTCTCTCTCTCTCTCTCGATTATACTTGTGTGAGATTTGGTCCATGCGAGATGCAGACTCGCGTCGAGACAATATCGGCAAGCGTGAAATCGATCGAGTCCGCGGCATTGTACGCCGAACGACGTGATTTGCAAACTCTTCGGGGGTGGGGGGGGGGTGAAAGGGGGATCTGAGTTATTTACGGGATATATTAGGGAAATAAAAGAAAATCGTGAAGCCACGGTGCGTGCGGGGACGCGATGCGAGTTTATCCGATCGTTTGTCCAAATGTTATTTCGCTCAACAGCGAGCGCGAACTCAAACCGGTGGGTAAAAACACAATTTTCGTTATCGTCCGTGCAATTTGAGTTTTTATGTTGCTTTGCCAAATAACGCGCTCTCGTTGCGCGATCCGTGTTACGTGAACGTAGCTCGCGTTTTAAACGTATGTGACCGTGGCTGCTTTCTGTTAACAGCGACCCGCAAGTGCTGGGAGCGTACAACTACACAGACATCATCCTGAGGTTACCCGGAGGGAAACGCATACGAGACATCAAATGGCTGAGCGTGTGGTGCAGGAGATTCACGGTGAGCGAGAATCGTCAAATGGATCTCGATATGTTCATATCGTGTACCAACTCCGCCTTTTTCGCGCACCGATTGTGCCGAAACGAGACCGAACGAATGTTCAAGGTTTCTCTTTTGTCTCATGTGATCTTTGAGAGGCGCTTCCGAGAGGCGCTTTAAATTCTCCCCGGCGTTGAGAGAAAGACGTGCGACACTAGCAATTTAGAACATGACAGGTTCACCGTCACACGCGAGACACGCGCATCTCGGTCGTTGTTATTTTCGACGGGGAAGAAAATCGGAAAGGAAAAAACAGAGTCGCTGCTTCTTACAACCGAATTTGATTCGTGAGGAATTATACGGTACCTTCGAAATGAAAGCGAACCCAGCGTTCCATTGTCACATTTCCATTCCAGCACGCGCTTTTCCCTCCGTGCGCGAACCTGCATTTCCCAAGTGTGTGTATTTTTCACATTTTCAGCGCTCTACTCAGTTGCGAGCTCGCGCAAACTTAAGAGGGGGGGATTCCGGTTTTCTCCATTAAATATACCGTTTTCTTTGGAATTTTTCTTTAAGGAAACTATACAATCAATTACTTCCAAATTTTCAGCATATATTTATTAATATTTCAGGTATACAGAAAAATTTTTTAAATTATTTTCACGAAGAATTCCTGCTGACCTCTTTCAACCGTGACGCCGCGCGAAATTCCGCGGCTGCTGATGTGCACGATTTCTCTATTGTCAGTAATCTGAAACAAAAATATCAAACGGCATTTTACTTCATACATATGTAGCTATTGTTTGATGAACTAAAAAAATATATACATATATTTGACGAAATGGTCATTTGTCGAACTCAAATTATCGATTTTTAACACCAAAAATTGACTGAATCTTTTATTATAAAAAAATATATAACGCTATATACCGGGTGTATCTGACCACCCGTCCCACCTCGATTATTTTGTAAACACGAAATTTAAAAAAAAAATATATCAGAGAAAAGTTGTATGGTTTTAAGGAGAACATAAAACGACTATATCAGTTTGTTTACAGATGACGCCACTTTCGAGATATTCACTGATTGTTACTTTTCTTAAATGGAAATCCCAATTTTTTATTATATCATCTGTTTCTACCAATTAATTTGAACAATTTTTGTCTGAAATATTTTTTTATTCGCATAATATTTTTTGAGATATTTAAGAAAAGGTTGGTAACTTTTTCAACATTTAATTTACGATATCTCGTTAACTGTTTGCTGGAAGAAAAAATGATATTTTTATTTAAATGGATTTCCATTTAAGAAAAGTAATGATCAGTGAATACCTCAAAAGTGGCGCCATCTATAAACAAACTGATATAGTTGTTTTATGTTCCTCTTGAAACCAAATAACTTTTCTCTGAAATATTTTTTTCTAAAATGTCGCGTTTACAAAAAAATCGAGGTGGACAGGTGGTCAGATATACCCGGTATATCGCTATATATATCGCTCTTTTAAGTGGTTCATCAAACAATAAAAGAATGTTTACTCTACATGCTGTACAAATTTGAAGTCGATCGATCCAATAGTTTTATAAATATTGTGCACACCATTCGCGGAAAAGGTGTTTCGAGAAAAATGCGTTTAAAGTTTCGAATACAGTTGACGGAGACATATTGAATACTTACAGGGTTTGTCTGCTATATCAGGGCCATAAAGTATTCCTTTTTTCTCTTTGGAAAAATCATTAAGGTGCATTTGCTCGTTTCTACGTGCTATCCGAGCCTCTTTTGTGGCCTCGAGGCTTCGTCTCGACGATCTTTCTTGATGTTTGTTCTGCACCTTGGCGAATATTTTTGCTTGCTCGCCAATAACGATTCCTGTCGTTGTCATTGTTTTAAGGACAGAGGAGCCTTCATTAAAAATGTCGGTCGCTAAATAAGCCGCGATTTCGATTGTTTTTGAGCCATAATGAAGATGTTTGGACGTTAGTCGCCAGACAATGGAATTAAAACTTTTGTTGTTGAGTGTCACCACCCAGACATCTTTCTAGCAACTTTTTCGATGATAAATCATTGTAAATCTGCTTTATAGCATCTTCGACATTTTTATGAAGTGGCGGTTCGTGATTAAATTCGTCCAGAGTGTTCTCGGTTCCGTTTTTTCGCCATTCGCACCAACTCTGTGACCTCCTTGGACACCTCGCTGGACAGTACATATGCTGGGGATTTTTAATAGTCATCCCTGCTTCCCGAGTATATAGTATATTGCCGGAGAATTGTCTTTTTTCAGTCTAGCAGCACGTGTGTGAATTTCTCGCGATTATTTTCGATTCATCACTCCCGTGTACCGGGTGTTTCAGACCACCCGGATCACCCGATTTTTTCGTTAACGCGACATTTTAGAGAAAAATATTCCAGACAAAAGTTGTAGGGCTTCAAAGGATCTATTTACTGACGCTACGAATTTGACCTTGGGATAACCTTGAAAAGTCCAATCAAGATCAACATAAAAATCTGAGATGGAAACCGCGATTTTTTATTACACCATCTTTTTCCACCAATTAATTTGAACAACTTTTGTCTAAAACATTTTTTTATTTATCTAATATTTTTTAAGATATTTGAGGAAAACTTAATAACTTTTTCAATATTTAACTCACGCTATCTCGCTAACTATTTGTCAGAAGAAAAAGTGGTACTAGACTTTTTTGCTCTATTTAGTCTCAAGAATATATTGTTCCAATAGCGCCCTGAATTTGGTTAATTTGATAATTTTTAAATTTCAAAAATCAGCAAGTTAACAAAAGTCAAGGCGCTATTCTAAAAATATATTCTTGAGACTAAATAGAACAAAAAAGTCTAGTACCACTTTTTCTTCTGACAAATAGTTAGCGAGATATCGTGAGTTAAATATTGAAAAAGTTATCAAGTTTTCCTGAAATATCTTAAAAAATATTAGACAAATAAAAACATGTTTCAGACAAGAGTTGTTCAAATTAAAGCCTATGATCTATAATGATCTATAACTTGGCTAGAAAAAGATGATATAATAAAAAATTGAGGTCCATTTAAGATTTTTATGTTGATCTTGACTGGACTTTTCAAGGTTATCCCAAGGTCAAATTCGTAGCGTCAGTAAATAGATCCTTTGAAGCCCTACAACTTTTGTCTGGAATATTTTTCTCTAAAATGTCGCGTTAACGAAAAAATCGGGTGATCCGGGTGGTCTGAACACCCGGTGTATGTAACTGTTCGCAGTGAAGTTCCGAATTACAGAATACTGAACAATGTCACTGCGAAACAGTGATGCCAAATCCTTTTACCTGATCCAATCGTTAAACCAACACTTTTAGGACGTCATTGACTATCTCTTTGTATTTACGGACAGCCGAGTGTGATACCGGAGCAGCGCGCTGCCGCGCATTCCAAAATTTCATACCTGCGCACAGAGTTGGTTAATGATCTATAACTTGGCCAATTTTGCGAATTTCGGTTTAAAATTTGTTACACATATTCTTAAGACCTTAGAGAATAAAATAAGGTTAAAAAAGAAAATCGATATTTTCCCGAAAAACCGGAATCCCTCCTTGAGAGACGTAAGGCGAGGCGCCCGATATGTCGCGCGTTTTATTCCAAACGCCACGATGCGCGCGGAATAGAGATAACTTGATTTTTGAGGAGGTCCAGGGAAGCTCTATCGGACGTGCATTCGGGGTCAATGGTGCGTGTGAGATGGATACGGAAGCCGGGGGAGCTACGGGGGCCCTTAGGCGACTGTGTATGCGTGCACGTGCGTGCATACACGTGTGGGTGGCGCGAGCCCTCTGCTCTTTCCTCGGGCTGCTTTTTCCCCGCTTCTCCGTTCGACTGCACACACCGATTTGAACGCGCGCGCGTGTAGCTCAGCCGTCTTGATCTCGCCTCTCGGTATCTCTTTCGCGCCTAGGCGTGTAAATACGTAGCGTCGGTGACATTGATATTGATATACGACGTATGAACGTTTGAAGAATAACGTTGGAATGTGTTTCACTGCGCCTCCGGGCGCGGGAGCGGGAGAACGCTCTTGGGGAAACGTTTTTGCGGCGAATTGCGGCGATGTGATCTGCTGCGGATCAGATATCTCCGTATGTCGACGGTGTTCAGTGAGATACATATTTCCGTTCCTACGCTGCACGTGATTTCAAGTTTCTGCATTTTTCTTGCCTTTGTTCTTACACGCTCTTTCTCTCGCCTCTTTTTTTGATTTCGTAGACATCGTTTCACGCGATATTAAAAAATCGTTACTTTCTAATTCAGCCACTTGGATTTTCCTCATCGCGGATTATACAGATTGCAACGTAGATGCGTCCCCGGCTGGAGAGCCGGAGATCCCAGCCACTCGTCGTAGGTCGTCGCTGAAAAATCTTTGCGCGCACACACGGCGATCGCACGTTTAACTCATCGACTACCCCTGGAGTTCTCCCCTTCCCTTGCTTCTGTCGGGCGCGTATATAGTACGAACGTGTACGAGTCTAACGACACACAAGCGCGATATCGCGCAGCCTCTAGAAAGGGGAGAAGGTTTGAGGCGAGCATATCGACGGTAGAGAGCAGAGCTTTTGCTCTTATATTAGGAGGGCTTTAATATCGAAGTCTGAGAGGGGTGTTCCCGTACCGTGACAACCCTCCATCAGACACGCTCTGTCACCGCAAAACGCGCTGTCCGCCGTCTACGGTCCATTCTACCGGGTGTCCCATTACGATCGCCGCGAGTCATCGTCCGGGGTTTGGCATAAATCGCTCTCGTTTACGGCCGCCCCACCGATCGACGAGCGTAAAGCCCTGCGCCGAGGGTGGTGGCGGGATTTTACGGCGCCGATGGCTTTTCTATATCTATATCGTCCCGAGGAAAGCACGAAAAGGGACTTTAAGTAGCATCGAGACGAGCGTTCTTGTTACGACGAGGCGAATGATCGCCTATTAGCGGGCAGGCAGTCGGTCGGTCGGCCGGTCGGTCGGTCGGTCGATCGATCGATCGACGAATGGCGTGTTGA